TGGTTGTTGCTGTTGTGGTTGTTGCTGCTGCTGCTGTGGTTGTTGAATTGCCAACTTCTTTATCAGCATCAGTTAGACTTGATCTTTTAGTTGTGGCTGTACTTAAATCGAGGTTTGATTGGCTAGCGTACTCATCAGTGAACCGTTTTCTCATCCAATCAATTCTCGACATTTTCGATCCCGGTTTCTGATTGGTGCAAACTATTTTTTTGTTGACCAGTTGGGTTTTGAATTGATTTGATGTTTGTTGTTGGGACTGTTGCTGTTGAAATTGTTGTAGTTGGTATTGCTGTTGCTGAAGTTGATGTTGTGGTTTTTGTTGAAATTGTAGTTGTTGTGGTTGTTGTTGAAATCGTAGTTGTTGCGGTTGTTGTTTTTGTTGGCCAGTTGAATTAATAGCAGTAACTGGAGCGTTAAAATTAGTAACAGTTTGAACGTTACTAACTGTAGTGGCGAGATAAGTAGCAGCAATGGAAGAAGTGGTGGTAGCTGCAGAAGTAGTAAGAAAAAAATTGGCAGCCACAGTAGTAGTAGTAGCAGTAGTAGTAGTAGTTGTTGTTGTTGTTGTAGTAGTTGTAGTAGTTGTAGTAGTAGTAGAAGGAGTGGTAGAAGTAATTTTATTTTCTTGAATTTTCACCAAGGTGGATTTTTTGATATCGTATCTGACAGGAGTGAGAGGTCTTAATTTAGGGGATGGTGTCGGTGATAAAAAGATCTGCTGTAAAGGCGATGATATTTTTTGCTGTTGTTGCTGCTGCGACGCCTGCTTCTGATCTAATTGTCGTTGCTGCTGTTGTAGCTGCTGCTGCTGCACAACGTCATTAGCTCCTCCACAGACAGCGGTCTCATCAGCCGCGCCAACAACGACATTTTTATCATCGCTGGAGACAGGGACAAACTCAAAGACATTAGGTTCCAAACTAGTTTCCGGAACAACAACTTCATCATCATCGTCGTCGTCGTCGTCGTCAAGAAATTTATTTATATTTTTAGTTTCATCACCATTGCAACCCTCTTTATTTATATTATCATTGACGTCATCAGCTCTTCTCGGATCAAATTTTTCCTCATCGTCGTCGTCATCACTTCCTCCTCTACGAACTTCTATCTCTTTATTCTCAACCAGAACTAGTGACCTAGTAACGCTGCTACTTCTGCTATTGTTATCATCACCGTCATCTTTAGCCGCTAATTCTGGAAACAGCTGACCGCTACCGCTGCTTCGCAGCTGCTCAGCTCGCAGCTGAAGTTTTTCTAAGCCCTCGATGACCTTGGGGTTTGTGACCTTGCGGTCATCCTTGAAAACTCGTGATCGAAGGTCCGAAAATAGTGAAGAACGTGATTGCTGCTGCTGTTGAAGCTGCTGTTGTTGCTGCTGCTGAAGCTGCTGTTGTTGCTGCTGATGCAGTTGTTGAAGCTGTTGTTGTTGTTGTGTAGTTGTTGAAAGCACTTTAGCATCATACTTCGAAATGTCACCTGTTTTAAAGAATTTAATCAATATTTTTTGCAATTATTTTATTAATTATTTTATTCACTTTTAATTATCTATCATTATTAAAAATTATTTGTTCATTTAGTTTTTTGCTGTCAGGTTTAAACTTTCAATCGTTCATTCATTCCTTTATTAATTTTTCCACCAATCAACAACCTGCCAAAAAACAAGACGCTGGTCTTTTGCTGACGTCATCAGT